CCCCAATGGACCCAAACTAATAAACCATTAAACCATTAAACCAATCCTTTCCCCCAATGGACCCAAACCAATAAGCCATTAAACCATTAAGCCAATCCTTTCCCCCAATGGACCCAAACCAATAAGCCATTAAACCATTAAACCCATCCTTTCCCCCAACGGACCCAAACCAATAAACCATTAAACCAATCCTTTTGCCCCATACCACTAAACCATTCAACCATTAAACCAATCATTTGCCCCTATAGAGAGAGACACAACCCTGTATGGGCCGAAAGCATTGGTTTAATGGTTTAATGGTTTAGTGGTTTAGGTGCATTGGGGGAAAGGATTGGTTTAATCGTTTAGTGGTTTAGTGGTATGGGGTAAGGGGATTGGTTTAATGGTTTAATGGTTTAGTGGTATGGGGCAAAAGGATCGGCTTAATGGTTTAATGGTGTATTGGTTTGGGTCCATTGGGGCAAAGGATTTGTTTAACGGTGTACTAATTTAACCGTTTGTTAATGGTTTAATGGTTTAGTGATGGGTCTAGGGCTGCCTACTACGCAGGTGTCCTGGTTATAACCGGGGACAGAGGTTATAACCAGGCCTGTGCCACCGCTACAGTACTTCATCAACACCTAAATCCAAACGTTCGAAAGTTTCGGTGTTTCATGGTGAATGTAACCGCAATGAAAATAAACAAGGACTAGAAGAATAGAGGGTCCGAGGTAATTGGCGTGTATTCGGTTGTTGAGGCATGATGCAGTGCTTTGTAACAAACATAATTCCGGGGACAATATGCGCATTCCCCAACTTTAGCGGAAAGGCTATATGACGGACTTTACACAATGGTCTGTCCGTTCCAGTACATCGGGTTTATGAGATGTACACATTGAGAGAATAGCCGCTAACATGTCACTCACGCAGGAATCAAAATGCGGAATATGAAGGGGCTCTATCGGGATTACAGTAGGTCAGTAAGTGTTGTCAACATTGGAATCGAATATCACGGTACATAGAAAGTTGAGATACGTCTGATACGACGTCATTGTAGGTAGAGAGAGTATTTCAATTTTTTACAGCGTGTTCAGGTTTCATCACTTCGTACATAGGCGAACTGGTTGCAACGTTTTGTTCAAACATCGTTCCAAGGAAGCCGGATTTCGACGAGACAAAACTGATAAGAATATGTGTGGTGAGCGAAACAAAATTCGCGACTTAAACTGTTAGGTTTCCTCGCTCGGTACGTAGAAAATTCCTTGCAATGCTATTTCCAACTACATGGATGAACGAGGATCACGTTCTGGACTGGGAACAATCGCTTCTATTCAGACTTTCAGTAAAGATTCACAAGAACACAAATAGAAATTCGAACAAGCTAGATGCAGCCTTATGGTTTTCAGTCGGCTTTACGTGATGGTTAAGGTATGCTGATACAAGAAGCACAGGCTTCATCACTCAGCATATAGAAACAGTGCCAAGCCTAAGAAGCGACGCTTCATGTCGTCCCCCAGGAAAAACACTATACAACGTTTGCTAAGCTTGTAGTATGCAAGTTTTCAATTTTGGCTTGGGGCAGCCGTCATACAGAATTAAGGAATGCACCACTCAAATATACCTACCGGATATACCAGTGTTAAAAAGCAATCACATCGGGGCACAGGGATATGTCATTGAAAGCTGTCAGTTTGCCAAAACGTCATAGCAATGCGTCCAACAACAGAGGCTTTGGTGGGATTGCGGCATTACAGTACAAAGATGGAAAACTTTTCGTTGCAAAATCTAGTTCGCGATAAGGAATGACTGAACCAGACTAGTGACTACAGCGCGCTTGTTGGAAAAAACTGAAATACAGCGGTTTAGATACAGTCACACAAACATGAACTACGAAGATATATCGACGGCTTCAAAGCAAGGATTTTAGCACATTGTAACAGGGTTTCGACGAAGGTGTCATAGAATTCTTAGCGTTGTGCGGGTTTCAGCATTCTGAAAACATGGTCTTCAAACCGGATATAATACTGTAGTCGATGACGTACACCTGATTATAACCTAGTCGGCTGGTTATAACCTAGTCTGGTGGTTATAACCGAGTCAGATGGTATAGCGAAAAACGTAGGGGGACCCCAAATAGGGGTGCTCCCATATATATATATATATATATATATATACATATATAATATATATATATATGTATATATGTATATATGTATATATGTATATGTATATGTATGTATGTATGTCACGCGTGCGTACGTCTTCTAGGGACAGCCCCAGTGAGGGACCTCGCTAAAGCCTCGAAAAATGCAACCCCCTCTCAACAGGCCCTGAAAACCCCTAAGCCCTTACCCCTAAACTGTCCTAAACCAAAACCATCCTGAACCCTAAACCCCCGTGCCCTAACCCTAAACCCCAAACCCCAAACCCATAAGCCCTAAATCCCTAAACCCTAAACTTCCCTAAACCCTAAGCCCTAAACCCCAAACACCTGAACCCTAAACCCGTAAACCCTAAGCCCTAGAGCCCAGGTCGCGCTGCAAGCCGCCTCAAGGAGATGCAGACGAGCACTTACCTGGAAGCAGCTCGAAGGATGGGGTTTAGGGGTTGAGGGCTAGCAGTTTACAGTAAACCTCATAAAGTTGGAAACCGGATTAAGGCCAAATAGTGCTGGGATTCCCTATACATTGCTCGTAAGGATTGAGGCTATTGGGTTTCCAACTTTTGGGCTTCTACCGTAGGGTTGAGGGCTAGCAGTTTAGTATGGTTTGGAGTTGAGGATTTAGGCTTTAATTAGGGTTTATAGGGTTTCGGGCTTGGGATTTAGGGTTTATGTTTGAGAGTTTAGACATGGGTTCGGTTGGTTGAGACGGTTCAGGGTTGAGAGTCTATAGGTTTTAGACGGTTTAGGGTTGAGGGTTTGCGCCTTTTTGGGCGCAGGGCTTGGCTTAGGGTCTGACAGTGCCTAGTGATGGTAGGTGAAAGCGGTCGTGGTTGTGGTGCTGGTTCCGAAACCACCAGCCTTGGATTCGTCCACCAAGTCTTGCGTGGCTCCAAAGGGTCCGCGATCTACGGGCCCTGACAATTAGACTAGCCTTGAACCTTGGTGGGGATGCGTAGTCTCACCATGATTTCATAAGGGAACATGAGGTTTATAAATAGGTTTTCATCGGATTTTATAGATTGTCCCAGAGATTACCAATAGTGCTCGCTTAAGGGTCCTCACATATGTTATAATTATACAGTATATAAAAAGAGCTTGTTTACTCGAGAAAAGCTTGCCTTCATGCCGACACACACTCTACATATATACACCACAAGGTGTCCCAGAAACCTATTCTGATTCAGGTCCTGCTAGGTTTTCTGTGAGCCTGAAGAGTAATGCCCAAAGAGAAAAGCTGGTTCGAGTTCTTCCGAACCCAGCCAATTTTGAGAAGCACTCTTTCGTGTTGTCACTCATCGTAACCCGGAGCCCAAGGCATTTTAGCGCCCTAAACTCCTAAACCGTACCCTAAGCCCTAAAGCCTAAACCCCTAGACCCTAAACCCACTAACCCGGAACTCCACAACTCCAGGAGGCGCGATTCATTTCGCCCAACGCCCTGAAGGGCGATGTTCCTCCTGATGGCTTCCCTTGGTACTGGCAGGGTTGCCTTTCCCAGAGATTCCAATATCCCTCAATTAAGGAATACCTAGGACCTAGGGCTCCTCTAAGGGATCTATAAGGGATCTATAGGGTTTGGGGTTTAAGGGATTCTGATATCCCCTCAGTAAGGAATATCCCTTAGATTATAGTAGGATCCTTGATAATTTAAACAAAATTCCCTATTTCCTAAACCCTAAACCCTAAACCGGATATTGGAGTCCCTGGGTTTGGCAGATCCCGACGTCGTGGAATTGGTTTCAACGAAATTTTCGGCGACCATCGCTCAAGAGAGAAACGATGCTTTAGCAATGTCTTCTGTTAGAGTTTAGTGCGGAGCCCTGAAATTCAGTGCCTTTGGCTGTGTTGTTTCCGCCAATGGAGCCAGCTTCATGTTGGGGTTTAGACTTATGGTTATCGTAGAGGTTGAGCGAATCTGAGCTTTCGCTGCCGCGGTCTCGATGATTCAAGCCAGATTGCCATTGATCTTTGTCGCCACCACTATCTCAGACTACCCTAAACCCTAAACCGCCTAAACCCTAAACCGTCAGACTACCTTGCCTTGCGAAGTTTCGGTGGTGGCGTCGGGCTGCTTCCCGTTAGACCCTCGGCACGGGCTCCCATACACCTGGCAGGTTCAGTGCTGCACTACGCAAGATCTGAATCTTACACATGTCGCAGGTCACATAAACATGAGGTTACGGCACGAGGCCAGGGCTTATCTGAAAATGGTCGTGCCGCCGATCTGCTTCTTTGGAAAGCGGTGGTGTTCATCGGTGTTCATGTGGTTTTTCTGGCCCTCCAGCTCTATCAATCTTGCTGGTGCAACCAAAGCGTCAGCAACCCTGAGCCAAAGCAACCCGGATCTCTACAGTCAGTCCTAAACCAACAACCTTAAAAACGTTGTACACACTGTTGCCGGCTACGGGAGCAGTCGGGGCTGACGACTCAGATTAGGAAAGGTTCCGGAACTTGCACTAGGATGCCCAGTAGTACCCTTATTCCCTTTTTGTAGTCCTACGTTCCTTATAAAGTTACCCAATACCAACAAGGGATCCCTTTCTCTTCCTAGGTTACTGGGCACCCTAGAGCAACAGGGATCCTTGATAGGGGACCCTTGGAGCGGGAAGCCTCAGCATTGTCGGGCAGTCGTGACTATTAGGAGCCTTCTTAAAAGATCCCTGTAGCAGGAACCCCACACCCTAAGCCAAAAACCTCAAACCATCTCAAACCGTTAACCCTCAACCCCAAACCTCAAAAGCTTCTGGGTTTCTACTTACCTTTGGTTAGTAGGGAATGGAAGAATGGTAGTAATCGTAGTTCTAATTGTACCCCATTCCTCCATTCCCTACTAACCCACGCTTCATTCATTGCCTGCCATGGTCTTGGACGAAGCCTCTGTGAACGATCTGAAGGCTGGATTTGGCGCTCTGCTGTTATGCTGGTGCTTGCACACGATTTTTGAATAAAGTTTGGGGTTGGGGTGTTCGACTTTATTCGTAATAGCCTATACCCTCAAACCATCGTCAGACGATGTAAGCTCTACGTTATAGTCACTATACGAAGTCACTAAAGTCTCCTGACACCCCATGCCCTTTAATGGCTTCAGACCTCGTAAACCAGCCTGAATAAACCGATCAACCCTTCGACCCTCCTAGAGATTCCTAGAGCCCTTTTTTGATGCCTTAAAGAACCCCGACAAGGCCAGTTATAGAAACCGTTAAAAATCTTGCAAAGTCAGGGCTGTGTATCTTCTCTGCGCTGGAAAAACCCTAAACCCTAAACCCTAAAACCCTAAACCCTAAAACCCTGAAACCCTAAACCCCAAACCCTAAACCCAAAACCTTGGGTTCAGATCAGGGCTGTGTCTCTTCTCTGCACTGGAACTGGCTCCTCGCCGAGTGCCTGGAGGCTTTACGACGCTCGGGCCGTGCAGGGTAAGATTTCGTGGCTGTAGGGGTGGATGCAGGGTTTAGGATTTGCGTTTCAGGGTTTAGGGTTTGTGGTTTATGCGGTTTTTACCTTCAGGGTTCTAGGAGGTGTTTTTTTTTTTAGGTTTTGTAAGGCTTCCTTCAGGGATTTTGGGCTTCTGGGGCCCTAAACCCTAAACCCTGTAGAAAGCTCTTGGAAGTATGTGGAGAGACCTTCGCGGGTGTAGAGTTGTTGGGTTCGGGAGTTTTGCCTTCATGGGTCACCTTAACCCGAAGAGTCTACCCTTTTTAAGGGCCTATCTAAGGAAATCATACTCTAAGGGCCTATATAAGGAAACCATACATAAGGAAGCATAAAGAGGCAGGTTATTCAGGGCTAAGCAGGGAGAACAATAACCTCTTTGAGAACTACGAAAGAGCCTCCAAAGAGACAACCCTGAACCCAAACCCAGAGCCCTAAACCCCAAAACCCAAACCCCAGGCCCAGAACGCAAACCCCAAACCCGAAATCCCAAATCCAAGCCCCTAAACCCTGCACCCCCAAACCAAAGCCCGAATCCAAACCCCAAGCCCTACTTAAAGGCTCATGGGACTTAGCAAGTATGGTTATAAGTAGGTTATCATTAGGATAACCCGACTTAGTGGACCCATAACCCCAATTATGACCTACTTACTAAGTCCAATGATCCTCCAAATACCTTAAACTCCCCTGAAAGACCCCTTGTAGATCCCTTAAAGGAACCCTTTAAGGAACCCTACCTACACTTACTGAGTCCCATGATGCTCTAAGTCCAATGATCCTTTAAGTAAGCCCTAAGTCCGAAACCAGATCCCCGCTCCCAAATCCAAACCCCCAGGCCCGAACATGCCTGAACCCGAAAGCCAAACCCTAAGCCAGAAACCTAGAACCCTAATTAAGGGTTTAGGGTTTCGGGTTTCGGGTTTAGGGTTTCGGGTTTAGGGTTTAGGGTTTCGGGTTTAGGGTTTAGGGCTAAGCCTAAGCCCCAAACCCGCAACTCCAAACTCCAGAACCCCAGCCCTAAGCCCTAAAGCCTAACCAAGCCACACTGGTCCGCACTCGCGGAAATAAGCACTGGGTGCATCGTTTGGAGGCATGCCACAGTTATCATGTAATTGAGTCTGGCCTTGAGGAAACTCGTGAACTGGGTATTCGATACATACTCATTCACATTCGTTCATCCAGAAGCGTTTACTATCATGAGCAGTCTGAAATCAGCTTTGTCTGAAATCAGCGGTCTCAGATCGTTTTTTTTCTTTGTCTGTTTAGTTGGTTGTAATGTCTCTTTGTTTCCAGGTTTCAACATCTTCTTGAACCGCTATTCTTATGCCACCGACCATGCCATTGCAATGCACAACGATTCATCGCAATATTATTCGGAGATTGATCCGATCACATCGCTTTCAATGGTCCTGGGATCATTTCTTTTGATCCAAGCGAAGCAGGCTCGCAAACGAGGCACCCACCCACGAACAGTGGTTCCGACCAGGGAAGTGCAGTCGGCGTGTGAGAATCCCATCTACGGAACGAGAGCCCTAAACCCTAAACCCCCTGGGGTCCCCTTGCATAAGCCTTTGCTCGGAACGGCAGTGCCAAGCCCTAAACCCAAACCCTCAGCCCTAAACCTTAATTAACCCTAAGACCCTAAGCCCTACCTGTAGGGTCCCTATACATTCCATATCAGGATTTAGAATAAAAACCTACGGAAAAGTAGGTTTTTGGAAGGTTAAGGTAATCTAGGGGCCATAATACTTAGAATCGGGTTATGGGGGCCATGATACTATAATTTGATAATACGGAACCCCCCCAAATTAGTATTACGGTTGATGATACAAATCCTGCATTAGCCATAATAAGGAATATACCATAATTCCCATAGTTTAGGGTCCTTAAAAAAATGCAGGATTTATATCAATCAACCGTAGTAATTATTAAGGCCCCTATATGAAGCCCCAAGGTCGGGAACCGACTCACCGGCTATGCTTCCCTCCGGAAGTTTCCGCCGCACTTCGGGAACCTCACAGCGGTGAGGTGCGGGACCTTCGCGTTCTCCGTGCTTCCGGGAAGGAGGTGTCCCTAAACCCTAAACCCCTAAACCCCTAAACCCTAGGACATAGCATCGGGGCTTTGCTCTAGAGGGGCTCAACAGGGTTTTCAGTTTTTTTTGTGTTTGCAAGGGGTTTGAGAAGGCTTCGAAAGAAGTTTGTTAGAGATTTTGAAAGCTATAGACGGGATTTCGTTCGGGTGTTATAAAGGCATTATTGGATTTTGCATGGTGTCTAGGTTCCGGTTTGTAGCGTGCAGGGCTATGAGTTGTATGAAGTATGGGGGATCCTTCACGCCAGGGTCCCTTACAAGGATCCTGAGGGTAAGGATCCCATTTATGGATTCAGGGCCTTTTGGCTATGGTTTGGGCTCTGTTAAGGGGTTAAACAAATTATGGTTTCAGGCTACGCCCAGTGTTTAGGGTTCGGAGATTGAGGCTTCTTGCAGTTTCGGGGTTTAGGGCTTGGGGCTCGGGATTTAGGCTTGAAGAATTCGGAGCTTCGGAAGGTTTGAAGGGTTTGAGGTTCGGGATTTGTGATTTGAGACTTGGAGTTTAGGGCTCAGGGGCTGTGGGATTTAGGACTTGGAGTTTCGGATTTTGTGCGCGGGTTTGGTCTTGCAAACCCATCGCGGCTCTGGCGGGATGGCGGCCTTCATTGGCAAGGCGCTAGCTCGGCAACGCGTGTAACCTACGTGAAGGTCATGACTTTGTACGTACGCCCTCTTCTGAGGGACCCCAAAAGCACATAAGCATAAGCTTTTAGGGGGATATCCCTACCTTATTTATTGGGCTTCATTATACGGGGGTCTATATGGGACATCCCTATCCTAATTTTTGCTTATGTGTTTTTTTTGGGCCCTATCTTCGGTGCAAAGAGGGCACCAGCTTGCAGAGTAAAATCCGGCGCATGCGCAAATCTTGCATCAACACTCGGAGGTCTATTTAGAATAAATGGCAAGTGTAGGAACGTGATATCGAAACTGAGCAAGATCTTCTTCTCCGTCAAAATAGTAGGATCCAAATCTAAACCCTAAACCCTAAACCCCAAGAAGCATCAGGGGCCTCTTAATCAGGTTCTTTTGCCGAACACCGGCGCTTCCAAGTCTGCTCTTGTCATCAAGATCTGCAACCAGCACCCCTTAATTATGCCTTCAATTATATGGGGCCATATATATATATATATATATATTCTCTGATTTAAGCTATATTCCTTAATTAAGGGATATTGGCCTCTCTGGGTACACCCCTGATGAATCCTCCTCACTTGCCCCAGAAGATTTGAGTAGTTCACTAGAGGGTCCCTATTTACGTCCCAAAGATGCTGCTGCTACGGCACACTTACAAGGACCCCAAGAAGGACCCTAATCTAGGGAACCACAGATTTTGCCGGATATCTTACATATGTGACTCGTCCTGGCAAGATCCTCCCGGGGGTCTGGGTTTATATAACGTTAAATTTGATGCGGTTCATCAGGGTGCCTTGTTCTATTCATACTATAGCCCCAAATCCTTTTCTAATCATTAATAAAACCCGATATTACAGGGGTTGCAGGGCACAGACTTCAAGAGTTATAAGGTCTAGATGAACCGCATCAAGTTTAACGTTATATAAACCCAGACCCCCGGGAGGATCTAGCAAGTAGATCCCCTAATTTGGGGCCCTATACTAAGGGTAGATTATAGGACCCCCTCCATTAAGGGATCTCCTTTTTGGATCCTTTTGGGGCACTGGGATATAAACGACTCAGGCTTCCCACCCCAAACCCCGGAGCCCGAAACCCTTCCCGTTTGCATGTTCGCAACCCGCTGCAGGTTGTGCCTACCGAGCAGCCAGGCCATTTCCTATTGGAGTTTCCGAAAATAGGGAACCCTAATATAGCACCCTAAATAGTAGGATCCTTATTATAAGGACTCCCAAAATAGGGGAGCTCGAAAGTAAGGGGCCTCAAAACTATGTCATCGGAATGATTAGAATTACTAGTCCTTATGGGGTTGTTTCTATACCCCCCCCTCCCTATCAAAATAGCTTACACAGTCAGGCTTCCACGTCACATCTTAAATGAATAGGGCCCGTTTTAGGTCCCCCAAAGTCGTACGGCACCGTCATCAAAGGACTCCAAAAGGAGCGCTACTTCAGATAACTATCCAACAATCGGACCCTTGTCCCAAGATCCGATAACACTGAACCCTAAGGGTTTGGGGTTTAGGGGGTTCGGGGTTTAGGTTTTAGGGGTTTAGGTTTGAGGGTTTAGGGTTTTAAGGATAAGCCCCATGCGTTCCTCTGATGAATGACCTTCTGGAGTCCTGGGCCTATGTAACAAGGTAGGGCCTGAGAGGTTATCTGTCGACAACTCTTCCACATATGCATTAGAGTCACTATAGTGAGTCTGCCCAGTCTAAGTTTGCAGCTTCTGGTACGAATCGGCTACAGCTGAATAGCTGCTACCCATAGGCTCCATACTAGTTCCTTTTTGGGGATTATCTTGTAGGTTTCTAAATATATGAACCCTAAGCCCTAACCCTTACGCAAAATCCATACTCACTCCCTTTTTGGGAGTAGCTCTTATGATTTTAAATATGAGCCCCCCAAAAAGGAACTACTATGGAGCCTATAGGTAAGCCCCAGAAGCCCCACCAAACTCCGAGCCATAGGCCCATGGGCGTGGGAAACCACGCAGAGCAGCAGGGTAGGTTTACGGGTTTGGGGTTTAGGGGTTCAGGGTTTTAGGGGTTTAGGGGTTTAGGGTTTTAGGGATTTAGGGGTTTAGGGTTTAGGGTCTTGGGGTTTAGGGTTTGGGGTTTAGGGTCTAGGGTTTGATCTGGAAGCACTGCAAAATGACGTGGAGAGCGCAGCTGCATGCAGCGGCCGGCCTCGAGCGGCAGCGGAGTTTTTTCGTCGTCGAGCTCTTACAGTAAGTTTGCGCGCTTGAGCCACGATGGACCTGAACGTCCTGACGGACATGGTGCTGCACTTGGAGCGCGAACGGCATTCCCGGCTTTCGACAGAAGCTGAAGAGCGCTTTGTCGCACCACCTCCCCGGAGTCCCGGAGAGCCCAATACCCCTTAATTAAGGAATATGCCTTACATTGTAAGGGGCCTTAAATTCTGAATTCATTAAGCTATATTCCTTAATTAAGGGGTGTCGGAGATGCTGCCCCGCTTTCTCCCCATCCGTCCCCTGAGTCCTCTGAGACGTTTGAGTCTACAGACCCTAGACCCAAAACACTAAAAGCCTTCGTCTAAAAATCCATAAACTCTCAAAACTCTATAAACCCCGTACACCCTAAACACTGAAAGCCCTAACTTAAAAATCCCTAAGCCCTGTGGGGGCCCTGGTGAAGGTGAGCCGCTCCGGGAGTCCTACGATCGGGTCGGGACCCGAGCTGCCCGTGTTTAGGATTTGGGGTTTAGGATTGAAGGGTTGGGCATTTTCGGGTTTGGGGCTTTGGGGGTTTAGGGGTTTAGGACTTAGGGTTTACGGTTTAGAGTTTAGGTCACCATCGTCGTCAAAGCCATCATCGCCGTCATTCTCATCAACTCATCACCAGCCGCCATCACTACCAGCGCAGTCGCTGTGGTCGTGTCCTTCATCACGGTGATCCTCGTTCGTTGCAACCCGGGCCCCATAGGGCCCTGGCCCTTTACCGTGCTAAGCCGTGCTAAACCCTAAACCCGCAAATGCAAAAGCCCAAACCCCAAGCCCCAAACCCTGAACCCCAGACCCCAAACCCCTACAGCCCCAAACTGCCCTAGCCCCAAACCCTGAACCCCAAACCCCAAACCCTAAACCCTGAACCCTAAACCCCTAAACGGCCCTAAGCCCCAAACCCTATGTACGCCTTCAACTCTAAATTGCCGCACCCGGAGCCCCAAGCCTGGGCATTCATCCAGACAGCTTAGGGGTACTTAGAAATGGTTTTTAACGGTTTAGGGTTTAGGGTTTAGGGTATTATAATCCCTAGGAAACAGCTAAAATTATAATTTTTGCTAGGGTTCTAAGTTCAGTATAGACAGGCCTTGCTCCTCTTCCCGGACACGACGCCGCCGAAGCTGCCGAACTTGGCTCCCGGGGGACGTGCCTTTGGTGGACTTATTTCGGGCGTTCAGGGTTTACCTAGGGGCTCCATAGTAGTTCCTTTTGGGGCCCATATTTAGAACCCTACAAGGCAATCCCAAAAAGGAGCTGGTATGGAGCCTAGGGTTTAGGGGCTTAGGGTTCAAGGCATGCCGTCGGCTTCAGGGGGTTTAGTAGGGTTTAGGGTTTAGGTTTTAGGAGGCCATGAAGCTCGTTTTGAGGTCTTTGTCAGGTGCTCGTCTGCGGAAATAGTCCACTAGGATGCCCAGTAGTACCCTTGTTCCCTTTTTGTAGGCCTAGGTTCCTTATTAAGTTACCCAATACCAAAAATGGAGCCCTTTTTATTCAAAGGTTTCTGGGCATCCTGGAATTCTAAAGCTTGAACTCTGAACTGAACCCAGGACGCAAAACCCTCCCTACTAAAGGGGGTCGGAATGGTTAGCAACAGCATTCCTCAAGGCTCACTACTACCCGTTGTGGTATAGAGAGCGCTACTAGCCTGCTTATTCAACCCTCATACAATCTCATCACAAACCTTCCAAACTAGATTAAACTGAGCCCTAAATCCCGAAACCCTAAGCCCTTTTGTGAGCAGCAGCCATGCAGACCACTGCGTCCGAAGCCTCGAATAGACGAGGGTTTTCGGCGTTTCGGGTTTTGGGTTTAAGGTTCGGGCCTTTTGGGCTTCCGTATATATATATATATATATATATATATATATATATAGTATAGTATATTATGGTATACGGTATAGTATATTATATTATAGTATATTGTATTATAGTAGTATAGACTACCATTCGGGGTTTAGGGTTATTTTGCAGCGGTTTTTAGAAGGGTTAGCAGCGGTTCACGAAGCAGGTTCAAGGTGCTCTAGACAGGTTGAGGGTTTTTTGGTGCCTAGGTTTCCCCGTGTTTGGGGCTTACAGCAATTTACAGGGTTTTGCCTTCAGGATACATAGACTAATTTAGGTTTGTGCCTGATTGCAGTGCGCAGCTTCCGCAGCCACTTTGGTCTAAGCTCTAAATCTCCTCCGCAAGCAAGACTTCGTTGAAGTTCTACTGAAACCCCTTCGTAGCGGCTTGGCTCTTTAGTGGCAGGCTTTGTTTTTGCGCCCGATTGTCGTTGAGCTGGGGAGGTTTGGTTGGAAAGCTGAGGTCGGAGTACTAATTTGGGCAGGTCCGTACCGTAGTTACAGTGATTGCAACGGTTTCAGATGTTTGCCAGTGCTATGGTATATTATTAAGGAGTTACTAAGGCTCCCCATCAAGCTCGTGGTGAAATTGAATAGCAAGGCTTTAGGACCATTTTGCCGACGAAGGCCGCTAATAATAACATCTTTACTGACTGCTAGTAGCGCTGTGTTTTTACGACACCGACGACGAAGACGCGAGGTAAGTTTTGAGGTCAAAGGGTTGGTGCTTTTGGGTTTAGGGAGTTTTCGGGGTTAGGATTTAGGATTTCAGACTCAAAGTTTGTTTCTTTACGCCTTGGGAGTTCATAGCTTTCGCAGTGCACACCGTTTAAACCCTAAACCCTAAACCCTAAACCCAGAGTACCTATGCAGGAGCTCCTTCCCTTCAAGCCAACGTATAAACGAAACCTTCCAAAGCCCAGACAGAACCCTTCCTGGGGATCCGAAACCCTACCGTTTTAAGGGTTCTACCCTCTAATTAAGGGGTCATAACCTACTATTTTGTAGGGTTTGGGGCCACAGGTTAACCCTATAAACCCTACAAGTAATGGAACCTCTTGAAAACAGGACCATTGGATAAATCGGGGCTGAAAACGCGTAGAACCCCGTCCTCCCTCAAAACTCGGAGCCCAAAGCGCATGAAGAAGTGGATAAGGCTTCGGATAAGGGCCTACTAGGGGCTGAGGAGGGTTCAATGAGAGGCAGATACGGGCTAACCCTAAACTCTAAACCCAAAAACCCTAAACCCTAAACCCTATAAACCCCTAAATCCTAAACCCTATAAACCCTAAACCCGGTTACGAGGGATGAAGCAGTAACAAGAGGTAATGTAGGAACCTGATTAAGAAACCCCGGGCCTATAACCCCAAAGTAGTAGGATTCATATAAGGAACCCTAATCAAGGCCCAAGGTTTCTTAATCACGTTCCTACTTTAAGGAACCCTATCGTTGCTAAGTCCCACGATCCTCTAAGTAACCCTACGCCTCGATCGGTCAGGCCTTCAACCTGCGAAATAATGGCTGCTCAGGATGCTCCTTCCCAGGCCTCCTTTGTCCAGAAAGGGGCTTACAGTTTGGGTTTCAGGTTTAGGGGTTTATAAGGGTTTAGGGGTTTGGGGTCTCGGGTTTTGGGGTTTCGGGGTTTATTGTTTGGGGTTGCGGGTGGGGGGTGATTGGGGGTTTTAGGGTTTGGGTTTTTGGCTGGTTTCGGGTTGCAGAGTTTAGTATGTTTTTTTTTGTGGGTTTTTGTTGGGCTGAGAGAAGGAAGAGAGGGGGCGAGGTTACGGTTAGATTGATTCAATGGTTTAGGGTCTCAGTGAGCTTATGGTTTGGGGTTTCACGTTTTGGTGCTGCACCAGCTCCCATGACCGATTTAGGGTTTGGGGTTTGGGGTTTAACCTCACTATGAAAAATGCTGGTATTTCTCCGTGGCTAGATTACTCAACAAGTGGTGGTTTTGGAGATTGAAAGTAGGGAGGGTTTAGGACCAGGAGTAACCAGGAGTCAAAATATGGGGGTCTAGCATGTGCACTTCGGCCCTCTGGAATTTATGCCTCCGTCTTACCATGCTCGAAGCTCCATCGAAGAAACGTAGAACACCTCCCGTCTGATCGTTGTCCCCTCCCTTCTCTGAAAAGGCCCTTTTGGAGAGCGGCGACGCGGCTTCCTACGGTGCAGCGGGCGGCAAGGGCAGGACACCGGAACGGGAGCTCCGCTGGGTGGTTGAGGGGCTTTTGCCTTCGGCCTTCAGGGTTTAGGGCTTGGGGTTTAGCTTAGGGTTTTGCCTTCGCTTAAAGATGTTTGGGGTTCGGTGTTTACTAGTTCTAGGATGCCCAGTAGTACCCCTATTCCCTTTTTGTAGTCGTAGGTTCCCTCTAAAGTTACCCAATACCAAGAAGGGAGCCCTTTTTATTCCTAGGTTACGGGGCATCCGCGAGTTCAGGGTGGGCTCAGCAACAGCAAAAAAGAAGAATCAACCCGGGTCAGGTTCTTCAAACACAAAACCTTATGCCTTAAGCCCAGGTGCAACTGCTTCAGCCGACGTTTCTGGAAACTCCCGCACCTTAAACCTTACTCGATAATACCCTGAACCCTAAGCCTTACCCGATAGCTCGGACCAAGAAACCTGCAGATAATACCCTAAGGACCTAAACCCTAAACCCCAAGCCTTACCCGATAGCTCGGACCAAGAAAGCTGCAGGAAGATGTTTTCTTGGAAGTTCGGCTCACCCTTTGCCGCGCTGTCTGGGTGGCTCGGCTCTGATCTCGACTCTAGTTCTGGAGATGCATGCCATTTTTTTACTCCGTTAGTAGAGTAAAGCGTAATTGAAAAGTACACATGCGCTTAGTCCCGTGAACGTGGCGACATATTCTGTCTGGTCGCAGTACTGAGATGTTGGTTCAGGTTGGTGCACCAGAGCCTGTGTGAACGCATATCATGCGTCGCTGGTGGCTACGCATTTTTCAGCTGGATAGTTTCCAGACAGAAGGCAGTCATGATCCCGATGGCATGAGATTGGTGCTGCTTTACTGTACGTAGCGAGATCTTGCTTCCAGCTTGCCAGGAACTGTTATTTTCACGGCTACTGTAGTTTATGATGTGACGATCATGAAAGTCGTTGTTGTTAGTATTAGCGTCATATGTTTGCGGTCCAGCTTGTGTTAAGCACACGACGTCACTTTTACAATGCTGGTAGCCGCACTGACCGTGACTCACAGTCATCATCGCAGCCCCGCAGCAGCAGCAGCAGCAGCAACAGCAGCGACACCACCCTTACGCCAAACGGCATTGTATCACAGAATCCGAAAATCTGGAAATAGAATCTGATAGCCTTGAGTAGAGCAGCGTAGAACATAGTTGTTCGGAACTAGACTTCGAGGATAGAGCTTCAGACGTTCTCAAGCAGGGCTTTAGCTTCTGTGGCAAGGGAGCCTGAGCACTTTTTTGCGTTTAGAACTGTACCTGTGGCCCAAAAAACCGACCTTTTTCAGGACTTATATACAGAAACCAGAATAAGGAACCCTAAAAAGGTAGGTCTTTCCGGCTACAGGTAAGGTTTAGGCTGAGGTTTAGGGCAGCTGGAAGTGCATTGAAGCTAGGACCCAGGATTCATGTTCCCTTATAAGCACCTTTTTAAACTAGAAAGGGCACCCTTTTTATTCCTAGGTTACTCCTGGGTTTAGAGCGATTCACAGGTGGTCTTTGAGCGCACCGTTGGTCGCCGAGTGCTTCGGCACCGGCTGCCTCGTCTTCACCGTCGGCTGCCTCGTGACGGGACCTGCTCCTCAGGCGATCCAAAGCTTACTGCCAGTATAGGGATCCTTTAAGGGATCTGTAGGGTTTAGGGTTTAAGAGGGTTTAGGGTTTAGGGTTATGATATAAATCCTGCATTACCTTAAGGACCCGAAACTATGGGTATACTGGCATCGTCCTTATTATGGGTAATGCAGGATTTACATCATCAACCGTACTGCCAGTTCGCATCATTCCTGGCTAGAAGAAGCAACTTGTAGCACAAACGGCATCCATGGGGTTTTGGATGTAGGGTTTGGGGTTAGGATTCATGGGGCAATCTGGGAAGCCTTCTGTACAGGCACAGCATCGCGCACGATGCTGTGAAGGGTGATGTTGAAAATTTTGTGGAGCACGCTGCATCCCTCACATGAACATATGCTTGCAAGCCTCCCACCCTAAACATTAACACCGTGCTCACCGTCAGCTGCAAACATGTTGTAGAGTGTTGATGCAGCGCGTGCTGGAGTCCAAGGATAAAAAGAGGGAGCCTTAACAAGGACCCCTGGGTA